GTCCCCCCACGAAAAGGGGGGTGGGGATGCGGGGGGATGAAGGGATTTCTCGGCCTTCGGTCACCAGCTGAGGGTCCTGTGTCTGTGGGCAATTTTACTTCGTTGCAGAAAGACCACGAGAGTTCCTGATCCAGGTGCTGGAAAGGGTGAAGGCTGGAAAACGAGCGGAAGGGGAGTACCCTTACCTCATGGATGAGTCCAACCTGGCCGCCATGTTCAGCTTGCTGGATGTCCTAGGCCAAGGCCACGTAACGGCAGCGCAGTGCAGAGAAGGTGCGTCTCGCCCAAACAGCAGGTCATACTGAAGTGTTCGTATTTGTTTGCATGGAATTATTAAAATAGTTTCAAAGCTATGCATTGGTATACTTTAAAAGTATCGCACATCTGCTAATACACAACCTGGAACTCCAAAAGCTAAAAAAGTTACATATTTGTAAGTTATATATGTTTACCTTTTATTATATCTATACTACTTTAAGATGTTAAATTAATCTTTCAAAGAGTTGCATAGGAAATTCTCTCTCTGTAACTTTAGCTCTTAAAACTTTGGGACTGAGCACTGAAGATCTGCAGTTTGGAGACAACATGAATATCACACTGGATGTATTCATGGAAGAAGTGTAAGTTTAATTAAAAGGGGGTTTTTGGGTGGGGAGGATATGCATAGGAGATATTTTGCTGAGATTTATTTTTTATTTACAAAACTATATAATTAAAGGACTTGCTGATTTAAGCTTAACCCCTTTACTTTGCATTGCAAGATTTAAAAGGTCAGTTACTGCCTAACCTTGCTTGGCTTGCTGAGCCAAACTTGGCATTTTCCTCCACCATCTCACTTTCAGGATCCTCTCAAAGCAGACCTCTCTGACTACCTACCTTCCAGGTCAGATGGACAGTCATCAGGTAGCCCAGGGGTTCAAATATCGATCTAGAAATGTGAAATAGTGATGCAGTGTTGTCTTCATTGCCAGAGGTAGTACCGCAGCTGTAGGTGAAACAAGCTCAGAGTTATTACAATTTCTCATGGTCAAGGTATGGTTCTGGCAGCAATTTTTGGTAACTGTTGCAATCACTGAAAGGTAACAAACTAATTATCCTCATTGTTATCTAACCAGAATTCTTTTTTTTTCTATCTTAGGAGGAAAAAGATGCTGGAGAGCTGGGCTGTGTATTAGTTTGAGCAGCGGTCTACTATATGTACAGTAAAAATAGGCATCTTGCTCAATTCTTCTTCTGTTTTTTCAGCTGTGGATGGCTGATTTTAAGCAGTACTACTATTCTTGTCCCAGCTGTCATCCCTCCCACCCTGTTCGAGCAATCAGCTGAAAAGGGCAAATGACAAGAACTTGCTCATGTTTACCAGGCACTGGAGGGGTATCTTTTGAGAATTACTTTTCATAATACAAATGCATGGTTAAAAAAAAAAAAAAAAAAAAGTAGAGATCTCTTTTACACAACTAAAATAGCGTTTCAGAGTTTTCTCCTTCAGTTTGTACCTTATAGTAAGGTGTTATTAGTTGTTGGCTCATCACCATTGAATAAAATTAACTTTAAGAGTTGAGCTGTTTCTTAGTTTTTTGGGCTTGTGCTATGTTGGGTTTGGTTTTTTTAAAGGAAAGACCAGCTTCAGTGAGTTATGACAAATGTCCACAGTTAAAGAAAGGCAGCACTTCCAAGTAAAATGCTATTTTCAAACTTGTAACACTGTATTTATGCAACATTTAAGGAGAAACTTTAAAAAAAAACGAGGAGACACTCTGGTACAGCAAAGAAAAAAAATTTGAATTAGTATTAATAAAGAAAAACGAGTGACACATTCCTTCCTTCCTTCCTTCCGTGTTCTGTTTATACACATTTTAATACAGAACATCCATTACCTGGGATTTAGAGATTTAAAACATCTGTGTTTAAGTGAAGGTGGGCCAGCTCATGGGGAGGAGTTGCCCATCTTGTACACAGGTGTATTTACACTGTAAATACTCTCTATTCCTTATTACATCAACACAACGTTGACAAGGCAGACAGACTCACTAGAGAGGAAGACCATTTTAGCTTCTAAATGCAATGGGAAGGTGGCTGTGGAAAATAAGATCTGTGCAGCTCGAAACCCAAGTCAGTAGCATTTTGAAATTTTTTTAAAACTCTACAAAATAAGGCGTAAGATTAAATTAAACCCATCGTTCAACATACAGTATTGAAAAAATATAACGCAATTATATTACAACATATTTGCTTTTGATTGAAATCAGTAATCTAGACCAAGTTATTAACCATTTCTGAAGAAGTCTTTATTTTCCTGTATTTGGCCAACTAGCTCTCAAATTGAGAAGAATCTCAACATCCTTTTGAGCTAATTTATAAACTCCAAGTTCATTTAGTGCTGCTGTTGCAGATGGTTGGTTTGGCTTTAATGTTTCATTCTCTGAAGCTGACTGTAGTACATCCTTCAGAAGCAAGGCAGAGCCAATATTGAGGTTCAGGATAATGCAGGCTTCTTTTATGCTAGAGGAGAAAGTTATATGGATTAATATGAGAAGCACCCATGAGATACACTTAAATTTTGTGTACACAGTGATTAACAAAAATACCTCCATGGACTTCTGAAAAGGATCAGCACTGAACTGAAAAGTACTGCTTCGATCAAGGCAAACAGCATACTTGTTCTCACTGTCTAAGCCTTTTCCATTACGTATGTGCATTTCTCATAAGCATCACTATTTTGCCTCCCAGTGCTTGGCCTGGCTTTTGCTGCTTAAGTTTTTCCACCAGTATTAAAAATACATAACTGAATTTACCACTTAATCTGTCTAGCCTTCCCTAACTACGTTTTTCCCCTAAGACAATTAGAAACTTCTTATTCAGTATATTTTAAGAGCACAGTTTAACAGACATTGCAAGAATGTGAACATTTTTCTCTAATTAATATCATTAGGGAGCAAACAGACACCCCGTCTTTGTCACGCTCTTTCTAGTCTAAATAGACAGCCAGCCACGTACCCATTATGCATTATTTTTCACGGTTCCTTTGTGCATCTGTTTCCTCTTATGCTGGGAATAATATGTATGTATCAATTAGCTTTATGAAGGTGATGTGCTATGTGAATATTCCAATTAAAAAATGCCAATATCTTTGTCTTCGAGTGTTCAAGACTGAATGTCATGCTCCATATTGACTTTAAAATATTAAGATTTCTGCCCCAATTAGCCTAGGAGTTTAGCACTGGACTCTTTAGAAGACTGTGGGCTATTTAAAAAAGATTAACCACAAAGAAGGTAGCTCATTATCAATGAAAGCAACTAGACTGCTATGCAAGGCAATTCTGAGCAGGAACTTAGTTTAAAGTAGTCTTTCTTCTACAATAAAGGAAGCTTATTGTGTTGTAACTATATCTGTGAGTAGTTTCTTTGGCCCCAGTTTCAGAAGTCTGTGCTACTTAGATTCCTTCCATAAGTTACTTTACCTAGACATCCTGACTGCACAAAATGCTCCAGAACACATGCCACAGTCCGTTGCTGTCTCAGTACATGCTGCAGAAACAAAACTTTCCCAGTTGTGAACATTGGAAGCATAGATGATCCACACATTTTAAGTGTGGATCAAAACTAACTGTGAAAAAATCTCAGTGATATGTAAAACACATGTATTCATCTGGACATTTACTTCTGAAATACCAACAGATCAGAAGTTTGCCTACTTACTGCTTGAAGTAGTTCTCTGGCCTCTTGCAGTAGTGTGAAAATAAAGGGAACAGATTTCTACTCATGTCAAACTGGAGTTGTGCTGCTCCTCCTTCATTGAAATGATTTGCCATAATTATCTACAAACACAAAGAGATGCATCTACCGTTTAAGCCAGTCACTGACACCTACGCTGTATTGCATAGGTAACATTCTGCTGATACCTACTTCCTGATATATGTATATATCCACTTTCTCTGCAAGCATTTGCCAGAAAATTTTGAACAGTGAGTGACAGAGCTGCTGTTCTAGTTGTAGCAAGCGGTCTCGTAGGGTCAACAACATTGGGCAAGCTGTGCTCGATAAAGACATTACTGCTTGCTCTGCTTGGGATGGTAAAGATAACCACCTGAAAGACATTATCGCACTGAAGTCATTATAATGAAATTCATTATATGTTCATATTACAACAACTGAAGTTAAAATTATCCTTTTAAAAAAAAATCTTACCCATTTACAATAATTCAGAGGGAGTTCTCTTTTCCCATTTCAAATTGAAAAGTAATCACAGTCTAATGCTATGTTTAAACTTCATTTAATATTAAACTCATGCTTTAGTTATAAATCCCTGAAAATGCCATTCAAAGAAATCCTATCTAATCTAGAAAATCATTGAGGAGTTGTATTCCTTTTATGAAGCACTTCAAATATTCTATTCAGGAGCAAACACTGAAGAAGCCCTATGAGTCTGTGAAGACAGAACAGTCACTACAGGCTGTTTTGTATCAACTCTTTAATAGTACTATGAAGAAAATACTTCTTGTCCAAACTAGAGCAATCTAGAACTCTTCCTAGGGTTTTTAAGATAATGTGCCTGCTAATTGTGGAACTACATTAGAAAACAGAGCATTAAAATAGTCTTAAAGTAAGTGTTAAGAGAATTTTCCAAAACATACTACCCTGCACCATTCCTACTCAGGAAAACAATTTTGCCTATTCACTATTCCTGCCTTTATCTACCTTAGTATTTTTAACAGGAAATAATACTGTAATATGGGAAGAGAGTAAACAGACAGAATCACCTCTCTTTTTTGTATAGCTTTGCAGCATCTTTGACCTCTCTGAAGACATGATCTACTTGACGAGTCAGCATGTCATGTTTCAGGCGTTCCAGGAGGTTAATCATTTCATCAAAGACAGAACTCTCCATCGAAGCCAGCTGCCCTAGCTGTAGTTTACTGACAGCATTACTTTCTGCACGAACCTCCAGTTCAGCCTGCTGTAGCTGCAAGAAGAACTAGAGAAACAAAACCAGATATGAATACTATGAAAAATTATCTTACCATTTGAACTTTTCATTGGTACTTTAATAGGTACGGTTCTAGAAAACACTCTCCTGACACATTTATAAACTTAAAATTTAAAGATTTTAAAAACACTTTCTTCCCCCGTAGCCCTGATTTAGTGAAAAACAAAACACGGTGGTTTAATGCTAGTGATGGAACTGATACAGATTTCAGATACAACAGCAGATAGGTAATGGGAATAGATCTAAAGAAATATAAAATGATTATGTTAAGACTGACAGTAGAATGCTTTAAAAAAAAAAAAACAACAAAGTGATTTTGACCTTTTTAATGTTTGGAAAAGCAAACTATCATCTTTAATTGTAATTTGTTTTAGAAATAATTGTTGATTAAATCAGAAATTTGCTGGGTTAACAACAGCAAGAAAACAGATCAAGTTTAAGGTGACACAGTGGTAACAACTTCTTGGTTTTGCTTTTAAGCAGATCAGACGCTTGGGTGGACGCAGCTATACAACATGAAGGCTGCTGTCCTATCAAGTCAAGATTATCCTCTGCTAGAGCCACAGTTTCCTGTGAAGACAAAAAGAATTTGGAGGCTGCCCATCTCACACACAATACCTATTTCTACACACTTCACACGTAACAGGTTTTTTGACCTTTTATACCAATAACCACAGAAAAGCTGAAATGCTACAGAACAGCCATGCTGCCACCAGGCTATTACAGAGCAAAATAACTAATTCCCAGTTATCAGCACGTGGCTTTTTTGAGCAACACCTAAACCACGTTGCAACACAGATACCTATGCTGAATCCAGTTAAGCTAACCTGCTGTGGGAATAGTTCAAGCATCACGCATAGGTCACTGCACGCACTTCAACATCAGTGCTGTTAATACTGTCTCAGAGATCTCCAAAATCAACTCGCTATTTTCTTACAATACAAAGCATGTAAAGGAGGCTACTTTTTTGTCTGTCCAGATTACTCCATTCCCCAGGCTCTCTTTGCATTTCCCTAGAAAGTTTATAATTAATGCAGCTTAGATCTCAAACCGTAATATGTCCTTATTTATACATCTTTTATTAAATCTGAATTTACACCTCATTCTATTTTTTCAGTAATTAATTCTTCTGAATACACTTAGATAGTGCTGAAAATAAAACGTTTGTTATGAAACAAACATCCAAAGTCCTCCTTTTTTTTCTTTTTTTAAAGTAAAATAATTACTTACTACATTGTCAGCCCAGTCTGCCAACACTGTTGCTATATAGTTAACAGCATTAAGGATTGCACAGTATCGGAATCCTAAGGAAGCTCTAGTCTCTTCCTTCATTACTTGAGTTAATCGTATCCTGAAATCATCAACTAACTCCTTCTGTAGGCCCAGGAACTGTAGTTTTCTGGAAGCTGTTGGAAGATTCTTATACCTGTCTGGAAAGACATTAATAAGATGTTTTTAGGTTTTCCAACACTGAATAAAAGCTTTTCAAAAAGAAACATTATAGTCATCTTACTACACAACCTTATGCCTATGAGAACATCATACAGTATTTAAAATAGCTGACATATTTTAGCAATTTCATGGACACGACTCAATGCAGAAGCTAAACACGTAAAGAAACGACATTCTTCCCCCTCCAAATGCCACTAGCATTTTGTATTCTAATACCTGAAGCAACATATGATTACACCACACCATCCAGTTTGGCCCCTAAAGCGTACTCACAGAGAGTAAGATAAAGCCATTGAATAAGCAGTTAAGTGTCTCCTGAAAATTTACTACTTCTTACGTTCTGTTCCAAGAAAGCAGATGTTACTTAATAGCTTCTAAATTGTCTCTGATTCCAAAGGAATAGTAGGATTTTTTTATTACTGCATTGTAACAAATTATACTCTCTCAAGTATGAATGAGTTTTTAATATGCTAAATATCAAATACTTTTTTAATTATTACTTTGTAAACATGTCACTAGCTCAAGATTATTCATGCTTGGGTTAGTGTCCAAAATAGAAAATGAACAGGAAAGCTTTTAATAAATTGCAAACATCACAACTTTGCAACATTATTTGGTGACTACTGCTGACAATGGATAGTTAGTAAAGAAATCTGTTAGCGGAAGGTTTTTTACTATTCATTATAAACAAGAGCAATGCCCATAGATTAATAATTACCTGTTATAACTAACAACAGAGTCATAAAAGTTTCAGCGCAGTCTGGGACTTTCATTTCATCTACATCAGTGATATCTTTGTATTGCGATATCCATGCAGCTTCTGACGAAAGCATAGAGTCCATTTTCTGAAGAGCAACTGAGATGCACAAAACTTGTAAATTGTTTAAGTTTTTAATTAAAAAAAAAACTCACATAAACCTCTCTAAAATATATAAACATAAAAGCCTTATCTCTACGAAGTTAAATTTTACATTTTCAAGTTATAAAAAATACTGATGACTGGCTTCATGCAAACCCAGCTTCAATGTATCTGCATTTGCAATGCTGTTAACAGCTATGACGAAACAGCTGATTGGGGGTTTTGTTTTGCTTAGTAGTTGGCTTGCTCCTTTCTAATATATTTCCTCTTCATTTCTCAAAAATTAATACCCTCCCCCTATTTCAATTTCAAGTCCATCCTTGTCTGCACACACATAACATTTGTCTAAAAATAAGCCTACTGGATTCCATACAGCTTAGGGTCAAGAGTCCTACAAACTACAGAAGCATTATTAGAGTCCAACCAATTTTTAGTCAAAATAATCACAGCATATAAAAATACGTACGTCTTATGTAGTAGCCCTGTCCAAGTGACTTATCCTATTTGAGAAGGCTATTCATGTAAGTATACACATACTTTCTGACTGTAGAATGTAAAGGCCAACAAAATCCACTGGAAGTCTTACATTTTTTTTCCACTGTTAGCCACCTTTGGAAACAGGATTCTTCTGACAGAATATGCATGCAACTGGGAAAGCTGCTGAGATAACCATGAACACTGTATAATTCTCTCTCAAATAGAAGTACTTCATCCACAAGGTGACAAAAGAGTGTATCATCATACAACAGGCATGGAATGTCAGCAGCCAGCTTCTCCAAAATCAGCATTACTAGAGCACGAGAGAATTCAAGCTTTTGAAAGAAAAAAAAGTGAGTAAAATGTCAGAGATAGGAAGTATTAACATCTACAAACATATACATAACATGCTACTAGACTGAGTTAAGTGTCACCGCTTAGTGAAATCAGTGGGCTTACGCAAATATCTATCAGAAGTTGACTTACATATTCCTATATATAAAACCATGAAAGCACTTACCCCAGCATTCACTGAAGATCCTGCCTTGTCCAGTATTGGCTGGATTTTGTCATCAAGGAACTTTGCATGATTTCCAATCCATATAAGTACTTGGGTTAAATACCACTCAGGCTTATTTTAATAAGAAAAGAAAATATTAAATGCATCCATATAACATTTATTCAAGTGCTACTAAGATCTTAAGACAAACTTCTAGAAGTACCAGTCTCTTCCCCTGCCTTCTCTTGATCTCAAATCACACAAGTCTTTTACTGTGTTTTACTTCGCTGTGATTTTCATAAAGGTAGTATCAGAGAAGTATTTCTGGATTTGAATTGTCTTAAATGCACCAATTATTCTGTTTCTTCTCAAGCAAAAGTTCCATTTTTTATCTTCCCCTTCTTTACTGCTTTCTCACTCATGAGGTCCTATTTTCTGCTTCATATACTTCCTCCTGTTCTTCTGTGTGGTCCTTCTTTCTTGGTACAGCAAAAAGGATGCACTCCTGAGAAAACTCTTCCCAGTAGCTCTGTTCTTACTGTCATTGTACCCAACCTCAACCTCACCTTCCCCCAGAAGTGAGGAATTTATTACTGTCTCAGTTAATACTTCAACGCCTTTAAGCTTTTTCCATTTCAACACCTGAAAATATAGGCTGTAGCTTTTGACAAATGCTTCTTTCCAATGTTAGTGCAAGTGGAAGCAGTTCCTGTCCTCTCCTCACTCCCAATAGCCAAAGAACCTTCTGTTGAACTGCACTTACATTCTCCACATTTTGTGTGTCTGTTTCTCACTTCTGTATTAATTTTCACTTGTCTACTGAACTTCATCACATTTGTTTGTCTTTTTTTTGACACTCCCTCCCCAACTTGCCAACCTCATTGTGAACTCTGAGCTTGTCCTCTGAAATACTTGTAACACCTTCCAGGTTGATATCTTTCAAATATTTTACATGGGTATTTTCTTTATTCTATTATCCAAATTATTATTAAAAAAACCAAAACAAAACAAAACACCCAACCCAAATTTCAGTAAGGCCCCATTGGAATATCTTTCTGATCTGACACTAGATTACCTGTAAACTTTTCTTTACAGGTTTTTTAGAAAAACAGTTGTTCACCTATTGCTGTTCACGAAGTTCATCTCTTAAACATTTTGCCATTTGCTTACGAAACAATTTTGTTCATGTCTAAAAAACCTCTTCCCCACTAATACCGATAACATTATTTTAAAAAGCACTGTAGTAGCAACTATCAAGACTGCAAATATATTTACATTTACCCAAGACTGTGAACACAAGCACATACACTTGTGCAACTAAACAGTTACAAAACAGCTCTCAAACTCTGCTCCTGATGTATTAGAGCAGCATTAATGCACTGAAACCTGTTCCAATGATAACTCTCAGATAAAAATCCTCAGTCTTTGAAGATAATTCATACAAGAAGTGAGTCCCTTTCCAACTGGTAAACTGGATGTCTCTTGTTGTATGTCAATTAAAAAATTTAACCCAGGAAACTAATTATATAACAGTGCCTTTAGACTAATCACATTTTATATACTAACAGCAGAATCCAACATTTTCAGTAACAAGAAGGTAGCAAAACACAACACTAAAAATCAAAGTTACAGCTTTGTACAGCCTTTGAGCTCAAGCGGTAAGGAACAGTGCAAAATGGTTTGCAAGGAGATAGAGGCAATTAATCAAAACTTCTGAAAAGATGGGAGTCAGTCTAAGATTGTAGTAACACTTTCTAAAGGATCTGGGCAAGGGAGAAATATCGCCTGGCCCAGAGAAAATGCCTTTGGAAGGGCTCCAAGTGCAATGCTGATACCTGTACACACTTAGGTAGGCACAACAAGAACTGCACAGATCTGAAGAATCTTACTTTCAGAAAGGAAATTGTTAAAGCTATACAATTTAAACATAGCAATCCATCTGTTGCTTAAAAAAGCAACTGAAAAAACAAACAAACCACTTTCTCCCATACCTTGCTTAAAACATTGGTTTGTTTATTTCCAGTGAAATGATACTTGAATCTTTTCTGAAGAGGGTTCAGCATGATCTGCATCGGAAGGATAATGGGTGGCGATGGAGGCAGAGAGTACTTTTCTGGCAACTGTTTAGGTTTGGTTAACAGTTCATCTCTATGTTCGACAGTCAAGGACCAAATTAAGTGCTGAATTCTCCCGGATTTATAAAAATTAACATTTCTTAGTTCTACTTCATTGGCTCAAGACAGTATTATGGAATCAATACAATTCCTCAAATATGAAGGATACTCAAAATATTTCAGTTTAAATCATATTTAATACAACTCAGGCTGCTAAGGATTATTTATTCAATGACAAGTCACTTAGGTCAGTTTGATTTAGGAAACATATATTAAAAAAAAGAACACAGAAAACAACCATTATCAGTACCAAACACAGGGGCTGTCCAAGAGACATACTTATTCATATTTGTTAGAGGAGGATAAAAGACTTATGAAATTAATAAATGCAATACATGATTTCCCATTTCCATGTAACTGATTTAAGTCTGCCAGACTAAAATTGTTACCAACTCAGTGCTGTGTAGAATGGCCTTGTATCTTCCTACTCCATGAAAAAAAAAAAAAAAAAAAAAAAAAAAAAAAAAAAAAAAAAAAAAAAAAAGCAACAATCACTCCAGGAAAAATTGTTCGCTTCAGCTTTAGCTGTGCTTTGTTTAATTCACAAAAAAAAGGAACAGAATGAGCAGCAGTGCCTTCTCATTAACCTCAAAGGCAGACTACTATCAATGCACAATGAAAATCTTTCTGTAGTCTCCCCTTTTTGCAAAGTCTCCTTCCAAGACATGTATCTTCAGCTTTCCCTCTTTTCCTTCTGAAATGGGACATACTAAAGTGATTAAGGCTGATTTCAAACATGGCTATGAAAAGAAAAGCATTAACTGTGTAAATAAAATATACACCATGATTTTTTATTAACAGGGGTAATCTTACTGAAGCGTATAAGGCCTGATCCTCATGAAAGCTGAGCTGTTGACCTGGAGATACAACACTGCTACTGCCAAAAAGGACAACTTTGGCACCTGGCATTTTCTAAACAAACAAAGAAAAAGATTCTAATATTAATACAAAGTAACAAATTCAAGTTAGCTCCTGCCTTTAGGGAGAACAAAATTTTACTAAAGTACACCACAACCATTTAAAAGGATACGAGGTTTGCAATTTCAGAAGCTGACAAAACAACATCTCCAAATTGCTGTATACATCAGGAGCACTGGCTGGTGCAGCGAGGCCAAATGCCTGAGACTGTGGTGGCCCCACAAATGGCCAGCGGAGCTGGGTTAGTACCTCTTCAAAATCGCTGCAACACAAAATAAGCACTTTAACACAAACTTACAGTACAACACAAAGATGAGGGAGTGACAGTGCATCTCTTACCTCGACAATTTGTCCTTAAGAATTTTATGCCAGAATTTAACAGTGGATCTCACAAAAGCAAGAAGATGAGAACAAGACGACTCCTGAAGTTTAATATCCAGTTCTGCCATGAATGCTAGAGTACTGGCTGCTTCTGGAACATTGTTGGTCATCAGATACTGCTGAATGCTATCACTATAAAATACAAGAAAAGTCAAGACCAAAAAATCATTAAAGATAACAGAGAAAAGTCATTGATATATTGAAAAATGAAGTAAAACTTTCTCAAATCTAAAATATTTTAAAGATAGGACAAACTAGGTTACCGGTCTCGGAACATATATGCAGTACTCGGAAACTTTACCTTAACTCTTCTATTCGTGAAATCCATTTAAGATAGGCCAGGTGTCGTTCAATCTCTTCTACTTGACTAATCAGTACATCGAGATCATCCATCCATGGCTGAGCCTTCAGTAAGTGGCTACTAACTGAATCAGACAGAAGAGTTTCTTCCTCTAGAAGCCGACTCAGAGACTTTTTAGAGTCTTCCGCATTCTTTAAGGCATTCTGAATTCTTTTAGGGACTTCCGATGAAACTGTAAGTACCTACATTCACAGAGAAGTATCAAGGCTGACATAAAACCCCTGCACTATGTAGAGTAGTACCATTTCAGATACTGATACATTGCTTTAATTTAGTTAAATATACTTAATCAGTCATATAGCATATTCAGAAGGGGGGGGGGGAAAGATGCTTACCTGTTCTTCTAACTGCTTTTTATTTTCAGATAGCTTATCAATAAGGTTGTCTAGCTTCCTCAGAGAATCATAGTCATTTCCAACTTCTCTTTCCACAAATTCAGAAACATAGTACGGGATATCACAGCGATCTAGATCTCTAGTGACTTCTTTCTTTCGAACAGCAACAGTTGCCATGTTTTCTTTCTCTGCAATACCATTTATACAATTTCTAATTAGTCACCACTAAGACAGCACAAACACCTACTGATCTACTGAGAACACAAAACCCCATGAAAAGCTGGGCAGTTAAATTTAAATTGCAACTTAAATAAGACATTCAAGAAATACACTGCTTTAGGTGAAATAATTTGCTGGCCTAAGTCTTAGCTGAGATATGATAAAACTTTGCTTACATATCCAACTGGTGATTTATCATACACTAATTACTGAAGACAAATACGCCTGTTAATTTCTTCCTTCCCCAACAGTATGAATTTTATTAAAAATAGTTGAATATATTATGCAGTGAAAATACTGGAGAAATATTTTTGTAAAATACAAAGGAAGATAACAACGTTCCACTTTACCTTTTCACACAGTTTAGGATGTTCCAGAGATATCAGTTGATGAATGAAGTATTACTAGCAAAGTATCCACTCAGGTCTTGCAATGATTTGTAAAGTAAAAGCATCACTGAAATATTTGTAAGAAAACCCACACAGTGTAACAGAAGAGGCACTTGCTGATCCACACATTTGGCAGCATCCAGACCTGAAATTGAGAGGATGATCATGTACAGTGAAACAAAAAAAGGCAACAGTGATGAGTGTTTGGCTAGTTCAACTCTCAACTTTTTCAACTGCTTTCAAAACAGTATTTAAAAATTAAATTTATACACTTGCACTTTATCTGCTACAAGCTTTAATTAAGCAAAAAACCCTATTAAAACAGACAACACAGAGAGTGAGAAAATGGTGCAGCTGATGAGCCAAAGCTGGAGAAGCAAGAGAGAGCCCCAGGAAGAACAAACTGGGAGACCAAGGCTGTTGCTGAAGAAAAAGTTAATAAAGAAAACAGAGTAGTAAAAAGCACCATGCTGTCTGCAGCAATGAAAACAAATAATACCACAGAAGACTACTAACCAAGTGGTGCTCTTTTCTTACTAGAGAAAAGGATCAGGGTACAGGAGGAGAGAGAGTTACAGGACACTGGGGAGCACCCTCCAACTATGGCCCCGCTCAAGCCCACAGCTCCGCGCCCACCTTCGCCAGGGGCCCAGGCCGTTTCAAGGAGCGCTGGAAGGCTCCGAGCGAGGCCCCTCGCCACCCACAGCCCAGGCTAGGAGACCAAGCAGCCCTTTCGCCGCCAG